TATTTGAACAAATAATAAAGAGGAATTTCCCCAATCTGGCAAAGGCAATAGACTTCCAGGAAATCCAGGAAACTCAGAGAGTCCCAAAGAAGTTGGACCCAACAAGGAACACACCAAGGCACATCATCATTACATTAGCCAAGATTCAAATGAAGGAGAGAATCCTAGAAGCAGCAAGAGATAAGGGGACAGTCACTTACAAAGGAGTTCCCATCAGATTGTCAGGGGATTTCTCAAAAGAGACCTTACAGGCAAGAAGGGGCTGGAAAGAAGTATTCCAAGTCATGAAATCCAAAGACCTACATTCAAGATTGCTCTACCCAGCAAAGCTTTCATTTAGATTGGAAGGGCAGACAAAGTGCTTCTCAGATAAGGTCAAGTTCAAGGAGTTCATCATCACCAAGCCCTTATTATATGAAATGCTAAAGGGACTTACCTAAGAAAAAGAAGATAAAAAAGATGAACCCTGAAAGGACAGCAAACTCACAGTTATTAATAACCACACCTAAAACAAAAGCAAAAAAGGACAGCTAAGTCAGGAGTGGAACCATAGAAATGGAGATCACATGGAGGGTTAGCAACAGGGGAGTGGGAGGAGGAGAAGGGGGGGAAGGTACAAAGAATAAGTAGCATAGATGGTACGTAGAAAATAGACGGGGGGAGGGCAAGAATAGTATGATAAATATAGAATCTAAAGAACTTGTGACACATGGACATAAACTAAAGGGGGGAAATAGTGAGAGGGGGGTATGCAAGGGAGAGGGGAATGAAAGGGGGGGAAATGGGACAACTGTAATGGCATAATCAATAAAATATATTAAAGAGAAAAAATTCTAGAACTAAAAACTGAAATATTTGAGTTAAAAATACTGACCTGCTAGGTTTTTTAATTATTGGAGATAATGGAAGGAAAACTTAGCAAAACAATGAAAGATACACCAATAAATACTATTCAACCTGAAAAACAGAGATCAAAAATAGAAAAAAGTGAGTCCTCATGACCTTTGGGATCATAAAACTGGCCTGGTGTACATGTAACTTGAGTCGCAGAAGAAGAGAGGAAGAATAGGGCAGATATGTATTTCAAAAAATAATGGAGAAAAATAACCCTGAAGTGGAGGAACACATAAAGACACAGCTTCGAGAAACACAGAAACCCTCATGCAGAAACATAAATTTAAAAATATAAGATTATATGCTAACACTCGAAAATAAAAATGATAAAACATATCAGATACATCGTAGTCGAATTGCTGAAGAGGAAAAATAGAGAAAATCTTAAAACCAGATTTTAATGACTGATGGGTTTTCATCAGAAAAATAACAGCTAGAACAGCTAAATTGAAAAACATTTTTAAATGTTTTTTAAAAAAGAAAAGAAACCATTATTCCAGAATTCTATAACCAGTAAAAATCTTTCAAAAATAAGTACAAAATAAAGGTTCTTTTAGGAAATAAAAACTAAGACTATTTACTTCCAGCAGATCTATAGCAGAAGAAATGCTGAAGGAAGTTCTTCATGTTAAAAAGTTATAATGTCAGATGAAAGCTCAGTTTTTTAAGAAGGAAGAAGAGCAGTGGAAATTATAAATATGTGGGTAAGTAGAAAACTCTATTTTTTCCTCTTGATTTCTTTAACATGGGTATTAGAAATTTAAATCCAAAATTAGAACATTGTGTTGTGTGGCTTATGGTTTATGTAGATCTGAGCACAGATTACCTGGGTCCTCTGCCTGAGGGTCTTTCGCAGGACTGCTATCCAAATACTGGGTAGGGCTGAGATCTCACTGGAAGGTTTGACTGGGGAGGGTTTACTTCTAGGCTTATTTACATGGATGTTGGTGGGATTCAGTGCCTTCAGGGTTGTTGGTCTGAGGACCTCAATTCTACATTGTCTGTTACCCAGCGACTTCCCTCTGTTCCTTCCCAAATGGGTCTCTCCAATCTGGTAGTTCGTTTCATCAAACCCAGCAAGACAGTGTAGTCTCTGGGATAAAAGCAAGTCACAAATGGGCAGGAAACTACACAAGGCCATAATTCCCCACAGGCAAGAATCACTGGGGCCAACTTAGAGGCTGCTTCCCCATTTCAGGTTCCACCAGCATAGAATGGCCTCCCTGGACTTTGCTCAATGCCTCCTGTTCCCTGAAGTTTTTTAAACAAACGACTTATGGAGATAGTGGAAGAAATACTCATGCCTAAGACTTGTACCAAGCTGTGTCCCCAACATGGTCTTCCCCTTTCCCCTCTCCCTTACCTATCTTTTTATTTGCAAATTTTCCTCCATTGCTCAAGCCCCAGCCAGAAGCTACCTCCTCCTTGAATCTCCCCAAGTGTGCACAGTCACGACCTTGAACACTTGTTTAAAACTATTGTGCCCACAGTGGCTGGTTCCATGTGTCATAAGCACAGCATGTTTATAAATAATTCCTATCTTCCTGATGATTTTTCCAAGAATGTTAAGCATTTTGAAGTTTGCAGAAGTTCCATCAGGTCATGGAAATGCTTCCCTTGATGTCTTTCCAGTGGCTTAAGAGTGGAAAGTTCCAGCAGGAAAAAAGGAAGGAGAAAAAGAAGTCTTTCTGGAATGCTTGCAGCATAATTGGATCTTGGGGACACTGACTCAGAAGTATAAAAAGTTTTCTGACTTTCTACAACTCCATTTCTAAACTCTTAATCACTCTGGGGAACGCAGTTGTTCCAATTATAGGGATGATTTCAAATTTTCTTCTACATATACTAGTGCCCCTTTGGGTATTTTGCCTGAACCAAGGCAGGGCAGGAAAAACTGGCTTTCACCACTTCTTCAAATAAGAGGTGGATATCTCAGCCTGGGCCTTTCCAACTGGTGATGCTGTTTCTGGCCCATGTCTATTCCCAAGACATAGGGACCCTTTCTCAGCAGGCTTCTTATCAAGGTAAGTGAGAGTTCTTATAAGAGTAATACTAAATCTTTTATGAGCACAGTGATATTTTCAGCTTCTGGATTTTTTCCCAAAAGGTTGGGGCTTGAGAAGGGAAGAAATGAAACAATTTCAGTAGTATTACAAAGAATGAGGGCCATGCAGACCCCTTTTTCCTGGGTCAGAAAAACGAAGATGGCAAGAAACCTGTGAAACTTTCAAGTCTCTTTCTTTTCATGGACTCACAACACTTCAGAGACCCTTTGAGAAATGAGAGGGTCCCATGGTTTCAGAGCCTTCTTTTGTATAACTCCTGGGAGTACCACTCTCAGAGCCATGGAAGTGGCTGGAGCTGTCCCGGGGCTGTGCCCCAGAGGGCATCATTTACATTGTCCACAATGTAGTAAGTGTGGTCTCCGGGAGCTGTGTGTCACTGTGGCTTGGGCTTGAAGTGGCCTCACAAGCTGAGCAGCCCAGACTTTCGGAGCTTTCCTTCCCCACTTCAGCAGGAGGAGCCTGCTTTATATTTGAGGGTTCTGAATTTAAGAAAACAAAAGTTCTCTTTCTTAAGGAGTTTGAACATCATTCCTCTCTTCTAGTCCCAACTCAAAATAAGGTAACCTGAGGGTCAAAGAGAAGGCAGAAGTACTGATGTCTATATATCAGGTTAGAAGGTTAAGTAGAATACAGCCCAGATCTGTGGCTTACAAACCTGATGACTTTCCACAAATTCAGTGCAGTTCCAGAAGGACGCTGACCATTATCATATGAATGGGAAAATCTCAGAAAGCTGCCTGCTTGGTTCAATATAAAGAATTGTCTAATACTTCAGAACTCTGCAAATATTGGAATACACTGTTTGGTAATGTATACTCTTCATCATTAGAAGATATGAAGCCCAAACCAAAAAGCTATGCTTCAGTATGGTGCAGAAAAAGGTCTAGAACAGGAGTGAGTGTGGGACTAGATTATTTGAGGAGCAAAATTACTGACAGGATGTTAGTCTTGGTGACATACATAAGCAGCTAAGCCAAAACTCTCAAGGACTATTAATGTCCACTAATTCCTGTGTGTACACTCATCCAGAGGGAAGGTGACCCAGTAGGATGATAAATAAAAAACCACTGCTTTAGTTACCTAAGAGAACTAGATTTCCAGAAGCTGTGATCCACTATGGGTTGTTGGAGCTTGTCCTGTCCATCTTAATGGAACATCACATTCAAACTGTTAAGGACCTATCAGCATTTCCAGAGCAGAGTTACCATGGAGACCTCTCCTCTTTCCCTTCTATCTCTCCATGTGCAGTCTCCTTCTGTCCTTAAAATCCTAGCTGGATTCTATAACACCAAAGGGGCCTTCCATGATCCCTATTCCCACCAATACCCCAAATGTCCTTTCAGATGCTCTGGTCTCTCCTAAACTCTGCTGCTTCTCCTCCCTGTCACACTGAGTCCATTTAACCCTGGGCCATGAGTCACCCTTGTTCCTCAAAGGAACTGTCATACTTACATACTGGGTGATTAACAAGTGTTTCGGTGAATGGATGTTGAGACACAGACAAAAGGATGGATGGATAGAGGATGGATAGATGGATGGATGGATGGATGGATGGATGGATGGATGGAAGGAAAGCCCTGGAGTTGGTGCTGATCATGAGAAAGGAGATATTGGGAACAATGAGAGTATGTTTTCTGTGAGAATCCTCTGGAGAGAAGAAATAAACTAAGTATTTACAACTAACCATATCACTAGTACCTGCACAGTGGAAGAACATGGAGCAAACTTAAAAGCCATTTTTAAGATACAAGCTTAGTGAGATAAATTGCCATATAAAATGTAGAATCACTAAAATGAATGTATTATGTGTCTTATCTCTGATTAAACACATTAAATTATCAGAATCACCATTTTCAACTTGTAAATTTGACACCCTATTGCTTCTTTTTCTTGGAAAGAACTGGAGACTATGGACTTTCAGAACTGTTTCTAATCACTCTACCTGACTGAACTCAAAACCCAATGGCCTGTACCTATATAAGGTAAAGAATGTTAAGTTTAGAACTCAGTGTTTTCTTCAGTTGAAAGAGGAGACCTACTATGGAAAGTGCCAACCAGACAGCCTCTGTGACAGAATTTATTCTCCTGGGCCTCTCCGCCCACCCAGCACTGGAGAAGATGTTCTTTGTGCTCATCCTGCTGATGTACCTGGTGATTCTGTTGGGCAATGGGGTCCTCATCCTGGTGACCATCCTTGACTCCCACCTTCACACACCCATGTACTTCTTCCTGGGGAACCTCTCTTTCCTGGACATCTGCTATACCACCTCCTCTGTCCCTCTGGTCCTAGATGGCTTCCTGACCCCCAGGCAAACCATCTCCTTCTCAGCCTGTGTTGTGCAGATGTTCCTCTCCTTTGCCATGGCAGGAACAGAGTGTGTGCTCCTGAGCATGATGGCATTTGATCGCTATGTGGCCATCTGCAACCCCCTGAGGTACCCCATGGTCATGAGCAAGGCTGCCTATGTGCCCATGGCTTCCAGCTCCTGGGCTATTGGTGGTGCTGCTTCTGTGGTGCACACGATCTTGACAATTCAGCTGCCCTTCTGTGGGGACAACATCATCAACCACTTCACCTGTGAGATCCTGGCTGTCCTGAAGTTGGCCTGTGCTGACATCTCCATCAACGTGATCAGCATGGGGGTAACAAATGTGATCTTCTTAGGAGCCCCAGTTCTGTTCATCTCTTTCTCCTATGTGTTCATCATTACCACCATCCTGAGGGTCCCCTCAGCCGAGGGGAGGAAAAAGGCCTTCTCCACCTGCTCTGCCCACCTCACAGTCGTGGTCATCTTCTATGGGACCTTATTTTTCATGTATGGGAAACCCAAATCCAAGGACCCACTGGGAGCAGATAAACAGGACCTTTCAGACAAACTCATCTCCCTCTTCTACGGGGTGGTGACCCCCATGCTCAACCCCATCATCTACAGCCTGAGGAACAAGGATGTGAAGGCTGCTGTGAGCAACCTGGTGAATCAGAAACACTTCACTCAATGATGTTTGGAGACCAGATGTCCCTGTAGTTCTGTGACTCTTGGCTTCTTTCATACCAATCTCAGAAGACTGTGTCCCCCAAAGAAGATACATGTAAAGATAAATCGCCAGAAAATAAAACTATACATGTAATGGAGAATTGTAGCTGTTACTGGGCCTGTTTTTGTAAACAATAAAGCCTAAAACCTGATGGGAGATTGACTTGAGGGAATGGAAGTGGAATCTTCTGGGCAAGTCTTAATTCACCTTTGAAAGCGGGTTGCTCCTTTGTTTTCGAGAAAAAAACAGATTAGTGTACCTTTGTTACATAAAGACTCAAAATCCTACTTTGGAGATAGTGTGGGGTAAAACTTCATGACAAAAGAGTATAAAAGGTTATCTTCATTATAGATTAAATGGCACATCTTCAATTTTTATTTTTCTTGGAGGCAGGGCTAAAAGTGGAGATGAGAATAAAGTTGGTGTTCTTCCTTTCCCTGAGACTTAGAGAAGTTGAAACCATGTAGATTCCTTGTCAGGCATTTCCTTTGAAGGGAAGTAAACTGGATCCTGTCACACACATGTGGAGCATCCAAACCTGGGAACATTCCAGCTGGAATTCATTAATTCCATCCAGTTTTAAGGGTCCTTTTTTTCCTGCCCTCAGTAAATTTTGTTGAAGTACATAGTCAGTTTCTGTAGTCTGGAGAGTTAAAGAATGAACCTACTGGGAAAGAGTAGAGCAGGGTGCCACAGCAGGAGTCAAAATAGTAAGGCCGGCAGGGGATGAAGTAAGGTACCTGACAAGAGGTCCAGAGGTAAAATTGAAACTGGGAAAAATGACCCCTCAGTTTTGGCTGCCTGCTACCATGAGAGTCGAATTTGTGAGACAGGTGCTGGTGAGAAGGAAAGTGGTTTGATTTGAGGTGCCAGCAACTTGAGAAGATGGCAGGTTCATGCCTCAAAAACCATCTTAACATCTCAGTGCAGGCAGAGGTTTTTCTAAGGAGGGAGAGGGAAAGCATAAGAAAGAGATCAAGGGGAGGGGATGAAAAGCTCTCTACTTGCAGACCAGCACCATTCATTCAGGTAAGGACCTCAAAACTGGTCAAGTGATGGTTTGGGGTGGGTGAGTCATCCTGGCTTCATAGTTGAAGATCAGCAAATCTCCCACAGCTGAAATGAGTGCAGTTCGGAGACTGTATGTTTTGGATCCTTATGCAAACACTCTACTTATCTATAAGCTGCATATTAGCCAGAGTAAGCATTTACAGAAGCAATGTCAAGAGAATAGTGGGGTAAATATCAATTCCCCACTGTTATAAAATGCGTGAGGATCTCGGTTAGTAGTGAAATTAAAAAGGGCAAAATTTATGAAGCAGAGAACTTTGAACATTTCTTTTTCCTTGCAATTGGATAACCATTTTTTTCCCTGAGAATCAAAACATTTTAGTGAAAAAAAAAGCTCTCTTCCTGCCTTACTTAGGTGACTGGGGTTCCTTCTGCATGAGCTGTAGCTAGCAACTCCCTTTGTCCCCATGGTGCTCTCCTGCTCATGTTGGCAGAAACACACACACTGACCACTGCCTGTGTGGGCTCTAAAGTAGTCTCAGCCTGTAAGAGTGAGCACATGGGGCACGTTCCTTATCCACCACTTCAAAGACAGTATTATCTGTCCCACCTGGTGTGACTTTGCCTTTCCCTATTAAGCATGGAGTCATTCTATGCACTTTTTAGCTCACCACGGAGAGGATGACATTATTTCCAGCCTTTACAGGTCAAGAACTGACTTAAAAATGAGGCATACCTGCAGAGCAAAATTCCTTTCCAACATATTTCATTTCGCTAGTTTTGACTTGGAAGACTATGCCCTATTCCCACCCAGATCTTCCTACAGGGCTGAAGGAGGTGTTCCAGATGCTGTAGGTACTGCTGGTAGACAGCCTTCAGCTGTCAGTCATCATCAGGAATTAACTAAAGAGAGTTCTTAGCTAAAAAAGAACTGAGTCACCCAACATCATGCCCCTGGACACAGGGGCAGCCTGTATCCAATGACTGATTGATGAGGGATATAAACGGTTTGTCCCTACTCCAATTACTCTAATGCTCAAGTAATGCGTGTTCTCTTTTTATATAATCTATGAACACTGGAGATACTTAGCAAAAATCACATAGAATGGTTGGGTAAGGCAGTAAGTGTAGTATTAGCAATAGAAGCTTTGGAAACAGACCTTAGTTACATTCCAGCTCCCCTATTTATATGGTTGTAACCTTAGTTTGTTTTATACTGTAGATAGCTTCCCGGGCATCTGCCGACCACTCCCACTGCCCACCTCCCTATTTCCCAATCTTTTTCTTGGTATAAAACACGTAGAAAATAATGGGATTTAAATGGCACCCTGGGGTAAGTAAATGAGTCTATAAATGGCTGAAAGCAATTCCCCTGGGGACTTAGGTCACTACATGTCTTAGTGATCCTGGGGGTCTTTGACCCTGGCATATCAGGAGCCAGTGACATACTAGCTAGAAAGCCCTACCTGAGGCAGAATGTCCCTTCCCCTAGCATCCAGTGAAAGGATGGTCATAGCCCTTCTTCTGGCCACAGATAATTAGACTCTTAACCAAAATTTGGATAATCATAATTTTTCTCGAAGGAATTTGGAATTTGGATATAGAGACCCTTGTTAGTTGGCATAGGATTCTTGAACTGAGGAGCCACAAATCCAGAACTGGTGTGTCCAAGTGCCTTGTAAGACAGAGAAAGCTGGTCTGCAGAGATGACAAATCGGATGTATAAAGAGAACTGAACTCACGTGAAAACAGAAGTAGAGGCTGCAACACAGGAATGCGCTACGACTTGTAGGAGTCATATTTCTTTGGTTTTATGGGGAAATTAAAACCTATGGAAAAATGGAGAAAATAATAAGATGAATCTTTACATATTAATCTCTCAAATCCAACAATGGTCTGCTCATGGCCAATCATGTTCATCTACACCTCCATGGATTACCTCGCCCTCTCCTGGATTATTTTGAAACAAATCCCAGATTACCCAGCATTTGTGTTGTAGCCTAGCTACCTGGGGTCAAGGGCCTGCTGGGTTTTAAAGTCATGCTTCCTTACAATCCAGTTTGTTTATAAAGTGTATAAATATTTTACTGTACCCATGTTATGCACATTCTAAAATGGGTACAAAACTAGAAATTAAAGTTGATGAGATAAAGAGAAGATCAAACAAAAAGAAGAGCTAACATGGGGCAAAGAAGAAAACAGGCGTGGGCCAAAAATTTATTTATTCTTTCGGGCAGCAGCTATTCATTAAGTGCCTGCCACGCGTCAGGCCCTACTTTTACACGTAGGAGTCGTCTGTGAACAACACAGGAGGAAACCCTGCTTCTGTGAAGTTCACATCCTAGCAGAAGAGAAACAGACAAAAAACAATAACTAAAATAAGAAAACAAAGAGGATGTTAGAAACTGCAAGGAATCAGGACTGAGGTATAAAGGAGGACTGAACACATTCATCTGATTTTGCTCCTTTCCGAAACCCACAAAAACTATAATAAAGTGGGGTGTGGTTTTTGTTTTGTTTAATTTTTTACAATGACAAAATCCACAAGGTTAAGAGGAAGGGAATGATCAGAATGATAAGATTTTGAAGGGTGGAAAAATGTATGGATGAGTAGTCATTTCTATAGTGGATTTGACAGAGCCAAATCCTAAACCAGAAACTAGGAGTGTCACAGATGGACACAGGTAACCAGGTTCTTAGTGATCAGGACAAAGAATTGAACCAAACACACAGAGTTTATAGTAGAGAACATGGGAGCAGGCCAACTCCAAGTAGAGACTGACCTCATGCCTTAGGGGGTTTATCTCATGGCGGGTCCTTGTATGTTATGTCTAGTTGCATTATAAAGCTACTGTGCATATGGTCTCCCATAATTTTCCTTGATTGGTCACCAGAGAAGGGGTCATACAATGACCAAATGGACCTTCCTTCTCCTGGGGTCCCCCTGTACAAGGTTCACCTCGCCCATTGCCAGGGAATTATAGCTCTCCATGTTAGAGACTGGCGAAAGGGAGTTATTTATTCAAGTTATACAGATTTAAGAGTAATGACTTAATGTCTTCATTAAAATCTCAAAGTCCCTTAAAACACCCACAAACACACGCAGTCCTTCCTGCCCCCCTTTGCCCATTCCGGTTACCGTATCTCAGGAAAAGAAATGGAAGTCTGTGGCTCAGGTAGCCCTGGTTCTTCGCAGTAATCCGTGCTCGGCTGGCAGGTCTCCCTCAGTTCCCAGAGCCATCAATTGTGTTGCCGGGGTTTTCAGTTCTTAATCCAAAATCATGTGGCACTTTCTCATGGCCCACCAGCAAGAATCCTTTCACCCCTTTCCTTCCACAGCATCCCTCCTGCATTCTTCCAAACTGCTAAGAGAGAGCTCTGCATCGCTGCTACATCTTGCTTTCCAGCTTCCTAAACTGCATGGCAAAGGGAGACCTAAAGCCACATGGCCCTACTCTGTCAGAGCCGCATGGTGATCCATGTCATGGCTGCCGTGCCTGGGTTTAAATCCCAGCACCAATCTTCCTCTGCAGCCCCATTTCCTGTGGAGGCAACTTCACCCGCAAAGTCCCCCCATCTGCCACGTATGAAAGTGAAACTACCAAGACATGATCTGCTTGGGGAGGAAAGGTGGCTGATCCCTCAAAGGAGAAGGGCCAAGAGCCCCTTCCTCAAGGGGCTTTTATTGGGTTTGTTTGCACAAGAATACAGGTAAGGATCAAATAATAGATAACATTCAAAGAACTATGAGGGCTTATTCTTAGTCAGGGTCAGATAGGCAAAGAGCCATAAAACTTTGAGGAACAAACTTCTTAACTTCTTGCTTGGACCCTTATCATTTAAATGAGAGCATTCTAAACAAAGCAGGTTTCACAGGATTTTACATATTCTTTCTTATGCCTGATCACCCCGGATCCCACTCTAGCCAGCAAAGGGCTGTACCGCCTTCCCCA